GCAGTCACTCTGGGGCACTGACTCATGTCACCTTATGGTTCTATCACCCTTTAGGACATCTGAATTCTCCATCAGAACCTCTGTATCTAGCCAGCAGATGAAGAAGATCGAGTGTGAAGGATCATGTAAGAAGTTTTTAAAGGCCAGGCCTGGAAGTGGCCTATATTCCTTAGCCAAAGCTCAGTCACATGGCCCTACCAAATTTCTAGGGAGGCTGGAAGATGTATTTTAGCTGTCTTTTCATGAAGTAAAGAAAATAGCACCACCTGCCAGACTGTATTTCTTTAACTATCAAATAAAGAAAATTTCTTTACTAAACACTTTTGGACATTAAAATTTATTTTTTCTAAGGGTACAGGCTTAGATTCAAGTGATTTTCCTCAATCCTATGGGCTCTTTTCCCTCAAATATACATTTTAAGTCATATTAAGGAGTTTAAGGCTAATCTAATCAATATCATTTTATTTTATTGTTTTATTTCGCTTAGAAATGTATGAATCTTCATCTTTGAGGTTTATTTTGCATGAGAGCAATCAAGTTGCCCTATGTGTGCCATCCTTTTCATCTTTGAAACTGAAAAATAATCACTAAAATATTATACACATAAATATTGTTTCAGTTTGCTTTTTCTGATACATTATAAGCTATCTTAATCTTTATATGAATATCTTTATAGATTAGAAACATTTCTTTGATCATTATTTCTGTTCCATTTATTCTTTTCTGTTCTTTAGAAGCACCAATTTTTAGATTTATCTGTCCTAAGTATTTCCTTTCTTTTTTCACATATATTTTGATTTCTATTCTCCATCTTTGTATTCTGAGAAAATTTTTCAAGGTCGTCATTGACTCATATTTCTCTATGGGCAAATCTGTTTTATTCTTCCATTCTATATTAGTTTCTTGTGACTACTTTAACAAATTACTACAAACTGGGTGGTTTAAAACAACAAAATTTTATTCTCCGTTTTAGAGGCCTGAAGTTCAAATCAAAGTGTTGGCAGAATTATACTTCCTCCAAAGGCTCAGGGGGGAAATATTTTGGCTCTTCCAGTTTCTGGTGGCTTCAGGAGTTCCTTGGTTTGTAGATATATATCACTCCAACCTCTTTCTCCATGGTCACATTGCCTCCTCCTCTTCTATGTGTCTAGTGATGAATCTCCCCGCCCCTCTGTCTTAGGAGGATACATGTGCTTGGATTTAAGGCCCAGCCAAATAATCCAGGATAAATTCTTCCGCTCAAGATCCTCATCTTAATAAAGTCTTTTGCCATGTAAGGCAATATTCACTCTCATGTAAGTTAATTTTCACAAGTTCTGTGTATTAGGACCTGGATATATCTTTTGGGGTGGGGCGGTCACCGGTCAGCCTATTATATAGGAGGATACATGTGCTTGGATTTAAGGCCCAGCCAAATAATCCAGGATAAATTCTTCCGCTCAAGATCCTCATCTTAATCAAGTCTTTTGCCATGTAAGGCAATATTCACTCTCATGTAAGTTAATTTTCACAAGTTCTGTGTATTAGGACCTGGATATACCTTTTGGGGTGGGGCGGTCACCGGTCAGCCCAGTATACATTCTTGTTTTTAATTTGTCTCTATTATTTTCATTTCTACTCAGTATTTCATAATACTTTGATGGATTTATTTTTCTACCAACTATTCTTAAAAAAAATAGCTATGATTGCCTATTTTGAGTATATATAAAATAAAACGTGGACTAAATTGACTAATATATATTCCAACCTAGATCCTTCACAGGTAGAATTGTCAATATTTGTATCAAAGGAAACATTGTCGATAGATATTTCAAGACAAAAAGGCCTATGGGACAGGTGGGTGGAAAGAAGAGTAATCCTAACAACTAGAAGTAGCTTTGTCTTATCACCATAGTCATGGGATACTCCTAAATTCACTACTGTTATGAAGGTCACCAAATACCTTCGCCTTATCAAATGGAATTGTCATCTCTCCTTCCTCATTTTTTTTTTTTTAAATTCTTTCAGGAGCATCTCATGAAGTTAACCACTTTACTTGGCTTCCAAGTATTCTTACTGGCATTGTTTGGGTTTCCTTCTTATCTTGTTAGTCCTTCTTCTTTCTCCTTTGCTAGCTCCTTTGCTAGCTCCTTTGCCTGAAGTTGAAATATTGTAGTGCTCTAAGACTCGTTCTTAAATTAAGTTTCCATACTCGCTCTCTCATAAGGTGATCTCATTCATGACTGTGACTCATTTCTACCTTGGGGCCTCTACACCCTCTATAACCTCTACCTGGAAACTTACCCCAGACCTCCATATAGCTAGTTTCTTTTCAAGATTAATTCACATTTCCCATATTTATATTTCTAGCTAATGTGTTCAAACATAAAACACATCTTTTGATCTTCCCTGAGTTAATGGTATCATCATTTACCCAGTTGTTCAAACTAAAGACATGGGTGTCATTCCTGATTATGCTATTCCACTTATCCCTAAAGTCAAATCCATCCACCGGTATTATTAGCTCTGCTTTCATAATATATCTGGAAACCGACCCTTCCTCACAATTTCTATGTTATGGTAGGCAGAATTCTAATACGGACCATAAGCTTTCCCACCTCTGGTATACATGCCTTGTGTAATTCCTAGAACAGTAAATATAATGCGCTTTACTTCTATGATTAAGTTATGTCATATGGCACAGCTGACCTTAAAATAGAGAAACTATTCAGGTGGGCACTTTAAAGCAGAGAGTTTTCTCTAACCGATCACAGAAGAGGAGTCAGAGGTTTGAAGCATGAGAAGGATCTGATGTACATTTTCCGATTTGAAGATGGTGGGAGCCATGTGTCAAGGAATGTGGACAGTGTCAAGAAACTGAGAGCAACCCCTGGCTGAGAGCCAGCAAGGAAATGAAAACTCGAGTCCTATAACCACATTAAGTTGAATTCTGCTAACAACCTGAACAAGCTTGGAAGGAGAATCTCCCTCAGAGCCCCCAGATACGAACCCAATCAACATGTTGATTTTGGCCTTTGAGACACTGAGCAGAGAATCCAGCCACACTGCACCTGGACTTATAAACTACAGAACTGTTTGAAAATAAATGGGTGCTGTTTTAAGTCACTAAGCTTGCAGAAATTTATTATTCAACAATAGAAAACCAATCCACATGCTAAAACTCTAATCTAAGATACCACAGTCTGTAGCTTACACTATAGAAACAATCTCCTAATTGCGCTCGCTTCTTCTTTGCACTTTTGTTCCCCTATATTCATTCCTGACACAGTAGCAAGAGTAATTTTTTTTCGAGAGTTCTTTTCAAAACATAGATGAGATCATGTCACTCACTTGCTTAAGACTTTCTAATGGCTTTCCATTACTTAGAATAATTCCAAAATTCTTAATATGGCCTATGGTATTCTATTTGATATAACAGTCACAAGACTCTCTACCTCAGCTCCTACCTCTAATCACAGTTAATAATTTCTCAAATATTTTAAACTCATTTCAAGATCAGGGGTTTTATGCATGCTCTTATTTCTACCTGAATTATTCTTAAGCTATCTTCTTTTTATTTGACTTTCAGCTCAAATGCTACCTCTTTTTGTAACTACCCTATTTATATGCCATACTAGTTATTCTGTTTGCTTATCTTCCTTTATTTTTATGGTATATTTTATTTTCTAATTAAATATTATTTATTTATGTGTTCACTTACTCATCGTTTGTCTCCCTTCCAAGACTATAAACTAAATATGGTCAGCCTTTTTTGGTCTTGTTATAGATAGATCAGAGCCTTGTACATAGCTGCTGAGTGCATATATGGACTACTGCCCCAGAGGAACCTTTTCCTTCTCCACCACCAGTGCCTACTTCTCTGAATTTTCAATACTAATTAGTAGTTAACTTTCAAAAGTTTCTACATGTAATAGATATTATCCCAACGCTTCCGGTCTTTAGGAATAAAAGAAGATCTAAAGAGTTTTGCAATGACTACATTCCAGACTTGTTTCGCATGTCTGTATTCAAAGTCAGTAGAGCTTTCCATCAGGAAGGGGCTTTCTGGGTCTACTCTGACGTATCACTGTTCTGTTGTTTTCCCTATCTGGGGGAATACAATCAGTAAGCAATGTCTTTTTTTTCTTTTTGTTTTAGTCTCAGAAGCATTTTATTTAGCAGAAATTCCTTCTCAATACTACTAGCATATAGTCAATTTCTACCGTTGCCTTGACATACTGATTAGGATATTTTCTTGCTTAGTAGGACATTTTAATAATAATTACTTACAGTATCATATTGACCTGTAAGAAAACTTGAGACTTTCCAACAGACTTCTCTAGAGATGGAGGATATTTTGGAAGGTAGTTATTTCCTGTCATAGGAAGGTATTCAGATATAGGGTAAATAATCACATGATAAGTAAGAAAGAATTCAAACTTACGGATAGCTTGACTAGAACTTTTAAAGTACTCTTCCATCGCTGAGATATTCTGATTTCTTATATTTGTGAGACCTGTCCCAAACAAGCTAAATTTTTGAACATTTCTTATATGTATGAGATTAGCCTCAAGTAATAATGTACCTCCAAAGACTAGTCAATTAAAAGTGTCCTTTATGTTACAAAACTGATGTACTCCTGAAATAATTCATATAACAAACATTTCAACACATCTAACCTTATTTTCTTTAGACTTTTATTACTAATATGAGAATAAACTATTTTGGAAAATAATTTAAAGCCTATGCTAATTAGTCCAGATATTTTGAAATAATACCAAATTTAAAATTCCTGTAGGAAGTAATTCGTGGCTAGTCTGTACATAATATCAATATGCCCAAATTATGACTTATTTCAATATGGAATTGAAAATATTTCAATATGAAGTCTTTACTATCTTATATTCAATTATTTTATAATTCACAGACATTTATAAGAATATATTGAAAATGAGGAAAACTTAACCTTGAAAAATTCCCAATTTAATTTTATATTCTTCTTAAAATTTGAAGTAACTTACCCTGGTGCATAGTTGCATATAAAAAGTGCTGCATGTTTAATATATCCAATTTTTGAACATGGGGTAACAGCACAACCAACTTTGTGAGACCTGTCCCAAACAAGCTAAAACAAAAATTTCAATGAAAACATGAAATTTAATTCTAAACATTTACTCTGCCTTATTATAAACAATAGTATCTTCAATGCACATAAAACCTTTAAACGATTGACAAAACATGAACTACTCTTCATTTGGATGCAGGTAGAGAATTGTCGTGGGTTTAGGGAAGCATTTCCAACACTGTATTTACAGGAAACTTTAATAGGTTCTACCAATACTGTAGATAAAGAGTTCAAGAAAAGCTGATCCAGAATAATGCTTTAGAGCCAAAGGAAGGCCCACCTGCTGAATCGGTTTTCAAACTCTTGTTGAATCTGAGAGTTCTAGGTTATTGGCATACAGGAAGTTTTTTGGAAAGAGAGGAGAAAAGGTTGGGGAAAATGAAAGTTGTGAACAGAAGGGAGAAAAAGAGAGACTTAAGTTTATGGAAGGAAAGGAAAAGCACAGCATGAGTAGAGATAAGTAATTGAATGCTGTTAGCATTTCTCTTCCCTTGTTGAAGAAATTTCATTATAAGATTGGAGTTTGGGCCTTTCAATTAAAAAAATGAATAAAAGAGCTCAATTTTTATAGAAGCAAAAGCACATCTTAAATTGGAGTGAAAATATGAGCATAATTAAAGATATTTTTGACAGGGTAGGTAGATAGGTAAATATGAGCCAGGGGGAGAGAGACAATAAAGGGTTAAGGAGGGCTGCAAGTCTGGTAGGCAGAATGTATGCAAAAGGATATTGTAGTGAAACATATATCCAAACTAGATGGACAGGCTAGATATCTGGTGGCTCCTGGTGCCTTCCTTGTTCCTCCCCGCTACGTCCCCTCCCCCCTCGCCACGCTCCCCATCGGTCATTCAACTGCATATGACCATTATATGATCTTACTCTGGGGGCCTCAACTGGTGTGGGCAAAATTAGTTAAATGAACATGCGCCTACCCTCAAAACGTCCCCACGGTGCCGGCTTATGACTTCCCACCTACCGGCCCACACCACACATGTCCAGGCTTGGTGTAGGAGGGTGTACGGGAGGAGCAGGAAAGTCCTGTCATTTGAGGTAGGAGGGACAAAAAAAAAAAAAAAGGAAAGAAAAGAAAAGAAAAAAGAAAGAAAGAAAAAATATCCTATGGCCTATATAAACTCGGACTCTCAATTTCTCAGTGCACTCCAATCAAGCTGCCTGTTTGGATTTTCTAAGTGAACTTTGCTTGCTTTACTTAATAAAATCTCTTCTGTTTGCTACTCTCTGCCTGCTGTCTTTCTTCTAGCGATGGACCTCCACGCAAATCTTTCATGGGCGATCCAAGGACTGATCCACGGACTAAGCACCAGTAACATTCCCAGAAATTCTCTGTATGGCTTTAATATTTCTATGCTTTCAAGTTACAGAAAAGTACTTGTTTTGTTGTTAACCTCTCTGGGGTATAGGGGAACCATTTCGGTTTTCTTTTCTCTTTATATCAAGCCTTAGTGGTTTTAAAAATTGATTCGTAAGGAGTGATGCATTGAGAAGATAGAGAAGAGAAAGTCTGCAACAGAGTTAGGTCAAACATAGGAAACAAAAATGTCTGAATACTAGAATTACGGAGTAAGAAATGCAGAGGAGTAGGTCAAGGAGTAGACTTGGTTTACTGAGAGTACTGAAGTCATATTAAGTCTAGCTTTGACATGAATAAGACAGTGAAGAACCACTATTACTTTCCAGAAGAAAGATCAAACTTTTTTGAAACATAACTCATTTGATGAAACAAAGACATGAATGAGTTCAACATGAAAAAGTTCCGAAATTTTAAATTTTACATAAAACATAGCGTCTGATTGAAAAAATAATATTTTAAATCAGTATGTAAGTTCATTCAATAATTTCTTGATTCCTGATACAAATATTTATTGAAGACCTAAATGTCATATTGTTGTGTAGAGAATATACAGATGAGAAGACAAGGTCCCTTCCTTTAGTGTAGTATCTTATACCGATGATTATAAAATAATGCGATGTGTGAAATAATAAATGTAAGTACAGGAAGTAACAAGTGGTTCAGTATTCTTGGAGCATATAGTGTAAAGGTAGATTGTTAGACATGAGACAGGGAAATACTATTAATTTGCATTTTAAATGTTTTAGTATGCTTATTGATCTGTGCAAAAAAATCAAGATTTTTACTTATGTTTATAGTCAATGATTTAAAAAACAATTTTTATTTGCTGGTTTCTCACTTCCTTTTCCTGTATGAATTATTTTCAGAAAATCACCTTTCATCTTTGGATATGGAGATTAATTTCCTGTATTTAAAGGAATGTTTTAATCGTATAGTTCACATAAGAGATGGAATTATAGATATTTGATGATCTAGGACTGATAAAAATTTTGACTTTTTAGAATAATTTTACCATTTGAGTTTATAAAATTGAAACAATCAATAAAAACTTAGTAGTAAAGCAATTAATGAGTCCATTAAATTAATAATATAGAGATTAGATACCTGTAAATAATGAGAACAGTCACCAGAGCAACTGTTATTTTCAAAAATGTACTTTTTCCTCTCTGCATACCAACTTCTGATAGCAACACTTGGAGTAAATTCATTTTCAGGGCCGACCCACATATTTTCACCAATACCATTAAATTTAGGATGGGCCATTTTTAGGTCTTCTAAATGAATATTATGCTCCCACACACATTTTTTTCCCCAGGCTCTTGCAGTCCGTGACAAAGCTACATCCCAAGTCTGTAAAAAAATGCAAAAAGCAAAGAAAACAAAATCATAATAATGAGGTTTCTTTGTGCTCTAAATTATTTTCCTCGAGTTTTCATAGATAGATTTAAGAAAAACAATTCTAACTTTGTGCTTCTGGGTCTTGTTTGTGACATTTCTATGAGAAAAATTTATTTGAGATAATCATAAATGAAACTATTTTCTGAGGCCAGGGACTATGCATATATCTGTAGTTAAAAAATCAGATTGTTAGATAATGCAAGTGATTATAATACTATTAAATGTAGTCTATTCAGACTGTATAATACTCATGTGGTATCTTTAGAATATATATTTTTAATCTCATGCCTTTTATATATAATAATATAATCATTTAAAATAATTATCTAAGAACTATTTATCAAGCACTGATTTTATGCAAACTATTGTATTGTGAGAAATAAAATATGAAGTCAGGCATAAATTTTGTTCCCTAGTTGCTTATTGTTAGGATAACAACCTGGGATATTATATATGTATGTATATAAGTATATATGTAAAATATATACATATATAAAATTTTAACACATAGTGGTAGTTAGTAAATGTTATAAAGGAGGCACATGTAAAGTTTTATGGATGTTCCCAGAAATGTGATAAAAATTCACAACATGCTGCTCCCTGACTAGCTATCTGGAACTATCCAGAAATGTATACTTTTATCATTATTTAGAGGCTCATTAATTTCATTGTTTAGTTAAGAACAAGAACAAAAACGCACATTGAAAAAATCAACAAAATAGCTGTAAAACCAAAATGCTAAGTACATATGTTACAGTGTCCCTGAAAGTAAACATTTCTGAAAACGAATACTAAGATTTCCTTGAGTTTTTAGTTAATTTCATAGATTTATATATATATAGTCCACAGGAGTCCGCTTCTCCACAGGTACACCTGCAGCCTATACTCCAAACCAGTCATTGCAGCAGGCTGTAGGTAGCCAGCAATTTCCCCAGTATACACAATATAGAAAATATGTTACAGAAAATAAAAAAATCAGGCTTTTAGAATACCTTCCAATTACTCCCCCACAAAGGTAATCATTGTTTAAAAATTGCTATGTAAACATTTTTCCATCTATATATACACACATTCACACATAAGATACAAATGGATGTTTTAAATGGGTATTTTGTGATTTTTTTCCCTTGCACTTTTGTAATCATATATACACAATAGTATTGATCTGCAACTTGCAGTTTTCACTTAGATTATTCCATATTAGCACAACTAGATCTTCATAATTTTTGCAATTTCTACCTAGTATTCCATAGTATAGACAGCATATAATGTTACCAATTCCACTAGATTGGTTCTTATTTGCAAACATTTCATGGAACATCCTTCTACTGCTTTATTTTGCATATTATTTATATACCACATGCTACTATGTATCAGTCATTCTATTAATTTATGCATTATTTCACTTAATGTTCAAAATAACCTTATGAGGTATGCATTATTATTTTTTTCTGTTCCTCAAAAAAAGTTAACAAAAACACAAGCAAGTTAAGTAGATTTCATATAGCCACTTACAGTCAGTAAATTGTGGAGCCTGAATTTAAACCCAGGAAGTCTAACTCTCAGCTCCAGTTCATAAGTATTTTACTTCATTGCTTCCCATGACGGTGTGCAAAAGTTATAATACAAATTCCTTTGCTCAACCTTAAAATTACAGTTGTATTTTCAGAGACTAAATTTTCTTCTTTTAAAAAAATTATATAAAAATTATATGAAGTTATAAATTTTCTTCTTTTAAAAAAATTATTAACTACGATCACTACCCTTTTACCAATTTCTTCCTATTTTCCTCGCCCCTAGATCCTGGAAACTACTTTTGTATTCTGTTTCTATGAGTATTTTTTTTTTTTTTTTTTTTAGATTACACATGTAAGTAATGCCATGTAGCTTTTGTCTTTCCCTGTATTTCACTTAACATAATGACTTATAGGTCCAAGTTGTTGCAAATAGTAGGATTTCCTTCTTAGGGCCGAATAGTATCCTGAATATATATATATATCTCACTTCTTTATCCATTCATCCATGGATACTTAGGTTGTTTACATATCTTGGCTATTGTAAATAATGTTGGAATGAACATGGGAGTGCAGATGTCTCTCTGAGATCCTGTTTCCATTTCCTTTGGATATATACCCAGAAGTGGAATTGCTGGATCATACAGCAGTTCTACTTTTAATATTTTGAGGACTCTCCATGCTGTTTTGTTTGGGTGGCAAAATTATGTTCAGAGACTGAGTTTGTTTTGCCAGTATATTATTGAACACAGGTTCACTGTGGGAATTATAGTGTATTTTAATAAGCTAATAAAAAATAACATACTCCAAATCAATGATAGTTTAATTACACTATTGTTCCAGGCAAGGGGAGATGAAGGGAATAAAGTCCAAATTTAGTTGAGGTGTACCTTTTACCAGTTAGTACTTGGGAGAGAGAGTTTTAGAGCTGATGTCCAGCTGTCAACAAAAAAATGAAAAAGTCATTTGTTGGTAGAGCTCATTGCTAGAGAATCACGGCACTGGTGTCGATGGGCAAGTTGATTTCTCATGGCGCCACCGTACAGTTTTGGCCACTGCTAGTACAAGAGTAGTAGGAGCTAATGCCCCAAAGGTCATCAAAGAGCCATTTAGGTCAGCAGAGTGGCCTTGCCCAGACTGAAACTCTTGGATAGTCCTCACAAACTCTCAGTATTTATAGTCTAAATGTCACCCTGCCATTGTTGTTTCTTCAAATGTTTTTTGATAAGTCCCCAGCTTTTAACTGTACCCAATATAATATTCCTTTTAAAATATTTATATAATAAGATAATAGATATCTACATATCTATATATACATATCTATATATCAGGTACATATGTGTCTGCTATATTTTCTATATTTTTCTTTATGTTTGAAAGATGATATTTACAGATTAGAAATACATAAGCTTTAAGAAGTTTTATGATAAAGTATTGTGTGTTTATTAATTATCAGAAGGGAGGCTACTCTTCAAACTTGGAATAAATGAGAAAGGGGGGAATATAACTAAAACTTCAAATATCCCCAAATTCTATGATTAAGTTCAAAAGCCAAAAATTATCTTGGAAAAAAACTATCTTCAGCAAACAGTACTAAATCCTAATGTTTGTAGGAGAAAATATATAAACAGAAGAGGAACACACTGACAAAACCAAAGGAAAAGAAAATGAACAAGAAAGAACTAAAATAGGACCAATCAAAATAGCATTTAAAAATTAACATTAAATGAAGTACCGGTTTATAATTATGTTTAGCAAGTGATTAAGAATGCCCAAACTAGTGGGGATGTGGTGAAAACAGAACATTTATGTACTGCTGCTATTTAATTAATCTGGCACAACCCTCTAGAACAGCAATCGTCATACATCATGTAAATTAAAAATATTACATCCTTAATTTATTTATCCCATTTTTGGAATTTGTCCTAAGGAACTAAACCAGAAGGAAGAAAAGTCTTTTGTCTAGGGAGATAGTCCTTGTAATATCATTTATAATGTAAATTGGAAGCTAACTGCCTGATAAAAAAATTATTTACCTAATTAATTTTGTAGTCATTTTTAATGACAATCGCAACGACCCCATAGCAACAAGGGAGGAGCTGATGAGATGTTAAAAAGAAATGAGGGGGTGGAGGTGTCAATGGAAAAGAAATACAAACAACGTTGTGAGACAATGCAAATTCAGGGCTGGATTAGGGCGAGGTTACTGAGACACTCCCTCGGGAGCAAAATTTAGGGTGGATACAAAAAACTCAATAATCAAGGTAAATAATATTTTAAAAAGGCAAAATTAGTGTAAAAACATTCCTGATGGAAAAATCAAAATTTTAAATAAAAACAGGATCTGAATTTTCACTTGCATCATCTTGATCGAGAGTGCTTCACTCACTGCCCCCTAATTCAAGACCAAAAGTCCTGTTGTTTAAATTGATATTTTCGTCAATATTTTTGCACTGATTTTTTAAATTAAAAAAAAAATTAAACTATCATTTTCTCGAACTGAAGACGTCCTAAATTTTGCAGCTCAGATGTGTGCCTCCACTCATCCTAGTCCCAGCCCTGTGCAAAATCTTGGTAATAAATATGTGACAGTGGCACATTATTTTTAAACCCAAACTAAAAGCGCGTCTCCACGCGATCCTTGAGCCTCAGAGCAGTGGCCCAGGCTTTATGAGGCTAGGGGGTGCGTCGTGACAAGGGTTGCTGGAGGTTCGGGCAACCGCCTCAGGGCCTCACCATGAAGCGCAAGTTAGCCCCTCGGGGCATGACGTTGCCTCGGAGATCATTGTGGAGGTTCACGTACTCATTGATAAAATCTACGTCCTCTTCGTGTGGCAAAAATTCCGCGCTCAAAACGGAAGCCAGAAGCAGTACCCAGGACTCGCACAGCCACAGCTTCAAAACGCCCCCTTGCGTCAAGGGAACCGATTGGAAGTGCCCCTCCAGGGCGAAGAGCCTTGGGGCCTCCATGGTCCACCGGCCGCGGGAGGCCAGTGCGCACGCGCCGACCAGCCCCGGTGAGCTGCCAATCCACAAGGCGGTGCAGGCAAGCCGGGTCCCGCCTCGCAGGGAGAGGAGGGAAAAGTGTGTGGGGAAGCCAGGACTGCAGGGTGGGGGAAGTTCTCTCCAACCGTGGGCCGAACTCACCAAAGAGGCTTGAGTTAAATGAGTGTAGGCTCTTCACTCAACTAATTAATGTAGTTAGATATTATCCAGAGAGGACTTCTGAAACCAAATGATGTGTCATCGTTTATTAATGGACCATATGTACAGTAAATGCCAGTTGCTAAATAATGAGCATGCCTGAGGAACCTTCTAGTTATGCAAGGGTAAATGAACATTCTTCTGTGATACTGATGAAAATTCAGTTAATTTTTTTTATTCTTACCTGTTGAGAATTTAATTCAGGAAGCCCCCCACCCCCCCTTTATTTTCATCATGGAGAGAAAAATACTTTTTTCGAGGTGGACTTCCTATTGAGCTATTCTCTCAGTGTTTTAATGACCCTTTGTGGAAAATCACAAAATAAATGGAAGATTGGAAAGCTCAGCATTTACGGGGTAGACTAGGGATCATCAAATTCTCATCAGGTTCAAATATTTCCATCTCTTCTCTCACCAGCATTTTATAGACAGTCTGGAATATCAGTATTCTTCTCTGACAAATTGTCTAGTTCGCAGTAGGTAAGATCTTTTTGTTTTCATTTCTTCTTTTACATAAAAATGGCTAGTGTCCTACCAGATTTTAGCCTGGGCTTTTTACCTCCAAACATTTTGTTCAAGAAAAACTTGCTTTGAAGAATATAACCTCAGGGCACAAAATAAAAGCGTGTATTTGTTTGGGGATACACATTTGCATATAACGTACTTCATAGCATTAAGCTATCATTAACACCGGGGCAGAATTTTGCCACAAAGAAAGCATTGCAACTGGTTGAACAAAATATCTAAAAAGAAATGTGTTTTTAAAAATTATCTATGGTGTACACAATGGAAAGCAATAGACATCACAAGATGATTTCATTCATACCTTTAGTCTTTTAGTAAATATTTATTATCAGGCAATGTTTTAGGGGGTTGAGAAAGACAGGTGGACAAGATACAGACCCTGCTTCCAAGTAGCTTACAGTTTAGAGATCTAGCAAATTGGTAACTTTTATACCAACTGAAAAATACAAAGCCAAAATGTTATTGCATCATATAGGGCAACTAACATTTTTGAGAACCAGGGAAGCCATTCTGGAGAATGTGACATCAAGAAAATGAAGCGCACAGGTGAAAGAGTGCATTCTAAACAAAGAAAAAATATGTAATGTGCCAGGAGAGTCGAAAAGGCTAAGAATGTGTTGTATCACCACAGCCTATTTTAAGGGTGAAAGGTGCTGAAAGATGGCATTCCTTTGTTATGTTGGTACTGTTAGATTATGAAAATTGCTATAGTAAAGCATGAGATAATCAGAATTGGTGCAATCTTAGATTACAAAGAAATTTTAGACACTTTTACTAGTCCCACTTATTAGACATATTCTTTGACACATCATTAATAGGTGGTCATCATATCCTCTGCTTACATAATTACGCTAACAGAGAAGTAACCATCTCTTAGGCAGCTCATTCCATTGCCACACACCTCACTCATTAATTTAATAGGTATTTGTGTCAGAGCCCACACTGGATGCTAGAGCTGCACATACTGAACAAGATAGTATGTAGTGTATCCATACGGAGCTTTAAGTTAAAGGTGATACAAATCATCAAACAATTACAATACAGAATAGTAAATACTATTATTTCGAAAATCCTTACTATGTGTCAGGCACTATTTTATTTTTGATTTTTTAATTATGATAAATATACATAACAAAATTTATCATTTTAACCATTTTTAGTATAAAATTCCATGGCAATTACCTTCATGGTTCTATATAATCATCACTACAGTTTCCAGAACTATCCTGTGCTGTTTTAAATGCTTGGAAAATCTCAACTCATTTAAAAGATAAAAACCTTAAGAAATAGATATTATCTCTATTCAACAGATGGAAAAACTGAGAAAAAGTGGGAAGATGGACTTTAGTTCATTAAAATGTAAATAGAGGATAACTGAGAAAGATATTTAGTAGATAAATGTCAAAGATTAAAATTACTGATATGCCATTTAGACACATTTAAGAATAATTTAAAATTCCTAAGAAAATGAGTAGCAACATTAGGAAAATGAATGAAGTGAATAGAGACACACACACACACAAAAGCCCAAACAATGTGGTGGAAGGTCATCTCAGCAACTAAACTACAGTTTGCCTCTCTCATTTTATATGAAATTTTAGCTCTTAAATTTACATTACTCTTATATTCTTTTTTTTTCTCCCCTCTTTAATTCCCCCCACTTCCACCCCTGACCTATGAATACTGCTGTTTCCTTTTTGCTGTTTCCTTTTCTAAGAACTGGATCTCTGAAGGCAGGGCGTCTCCCTCCACAAGCTTGGGGCCCGGTCCATTGCTCCACCTGGGGTGTGAACCCAGGACCTTCTGTGTGTAAAGCAAACGTGCTAACTGCTACACTATGGAGCCACCCCTACTCTTATATTCTTGAAGTCAGTATTTATTTAATATGGTTATAAGTATGCAACAACTAGAAAACCTTCCAAAAAGAATAGTATTCCTCCAGACTATCTTAATAACTCTCAAAAAGTGTTTGTAAATCTGAGTGCAGTTTATGAAAATAGTTTTAAGTCTCCTAGTAGTTCAAGAAATGAAAATTAATAGCATTTACCACACAGAATATTTGAGAGGATTATGTAAATTACGTGAAGCACTTAGTGTTTTGCACATTGAAATTAGTGTTAGGTATTACTATTACTGCTAATAAATAATATCTCATTTTCACTTATATTGACAAGGCCTAAAATGATTTCGTTTCTAAAATAATTTTTAACACAGCATTTTGTCAGACATATACATTCTTAGTATGTACTTATTGAACTATTTTAATGACAATCAGTGTGGTCTCATTAGCTACAAGGCACAAATCCAATGTGTGCAACTCCAGTTGAGTTCCTGGTGGTTCTGAGTAGAGGGCATTCCAAGGGGGCACATAGCCTCCCTGAGGGAAAATGCGAGTTCCACTGGGAGTGATGAGTATGGATTTTATTTTTTTGTGTTAGTGTGTGAGTCTAGATAGATTTAATTGCAGATTATATTACCTAGTTTTAACTAAGCCAGGCATCACGGAATGATCACGTATCTTGCAAAAATAGCTGAAAAGATATTGCAGATTAAATATAGTTGTAAAGATACAAGAGCAAGCGAATAGTATCAATCATTTGATTATTGTCTTCCTGGCATAAACATCTCTTTAGCACTTTTTAAAAATATATTTTATATCACCTTTTTCAGTTTCAATTTTTTGTGTATTTTAAAATATATAATGCTCTATTGTAAAAATATACATAATACATGTAATTAATGGTACATATATACCTTTGGTTTAAATTTATGGTTACCAATTTCCTGCTTTGTTAGGAAATGCCTTGAGTTTATTGTGTTTTCCTATATTCTGGGAAAAAACCCTCATCAAGCAAGCTAGGACTATTGGTCACTGTGATATATATATATCTTTTTACTGATAGAGATGCATAATAAAAAAATTATGGGGACTACTTTTAAACTGTTTACCATCCTTCCCATGGAGTAAGAATGGGATAAACCTGGCAAGTCTGATCACTCTTCCTCCAAACGATTAGGCAATTTCTGAGATTTTCAGATATAGCCTAATAGGACAAAAGGATCCTTAAAAAATGCACTGCTCAAATGCTGAGTTAATTACCTTTGATAATTTGAAATGGCCAAGCCAAGAGCAGTTTGTCTAGAACCTGCTGTGCTAAATTGCTTAACATCATGTATATATTGCAGGATTTCAGAAGAGACTGGAATAGTCTAGGACTTTTTCAAGGAAGACATAAGACTTAAGTTTAGCTTTAAAAACGTTATTGTTTTGTTAGGTGGGAGAGAGAATGATTTTCTACATACATTTCAGTAAATTCTTTGAAATAATATACGTACAATCTTCAAAGTATCTCCTTCCATGATCTCATGAACTTACTTCATTTTTGTTTTCATCCCCACCATGCCATCACAAGGCGATTATTCATTTAATGTCTGACAAATATATAATTCTGATAGCAGTGTAAATTTGCATTTTGTATATGGGATTTTCCATCTGTTTACAAATATGTGAATGCTAGCACAATTCATTATCCCATTTAATTGTCGAACTTTGTATTTTGCTGTGTAGGGCTGTAATCAGTGATCCAGAACAAAATGTAACCACGGAGAAACAAGGAAGTGCTCCTATCCTTCCAGAGTCGAACATAGCACCTCTTCGAGTTAGGAAACGAACCCTACATGAAACAAAGTAAGAAGGCTTACTTATATAAAATGAAGGTGTAATATGTTATAAATGTATTTTTTAAATGTAATTTTGCGTCTAACTGAAAGATTGTGCTTGTTTTTGCTTTTTTCTACACAAAGAGAAGTGGAATTTTTGGATTTTAGTTCCCAGTCCTGCCACTTTAAGATACTGGGGAAAAGTTTGCCCTTGGGTATTCTCTTTGTAATTAGGAACAATGGCCACAACCTTAGGAGATACTGTATCTCTCCTCTCTCTCCTCCTGTATAAACTGTGCAGTATATACTGAGACATTGGTATGTGCACAGTATAGTATATATTGGCTGAATCTCATTAATAAAATACATTCAAAGTTAGTGAGTGTTGTTTAAAAGTAATTGTTATTATTATTTATCTTTTATCTTAGAAAATCTTTGGGTTGGTATGGACTGTCACAGTCCTTTGGTGCATTCCACTTAAATTTCTCAACAACTTCTCTGACTGCTGACATCCAGCCTTGGCTTTAAGAGACA